CTCTTAGCAATCAGTGATCTGTTCCCTATGTCTGTAACTTTGCCATTTTGAGAATGTCACTTACGTGTAACCGCACAGCATGTGACCTTTGGGACTGGCTTTTTGCACTCAGCATACTTCCCCTAGAGTTGTTTCAGCTGATGTGTGCATCAGTGGCGTGTTCCTTCTCATCACTAAGCATTTCACGTAGAGATGTACCAGTTTAACCATGGACCCATCGGAGGACAGCTGGGCTGCCTCCAGTATGAACGATCACAAGCTGCTGTGCAGATCTGTGTACCAATGTTTGTAGGAACGAAACTGTCGTGTCTCGGGGGTAAGTACTCTCTGCCCAGTGTGCACTGATCTCCTCTGGGAGAAACCAACGTCTCGACCCGGCCAGGGGACCTACTGAGTTGCCTACTTCCTGACTGAGCGTCCTCCAGTCACTGTTTGCCAGCTGCCAACAGCAGAGTGCTCAAAGCTTTAAAAAGAAGCGAAATCCAAACTGAATCAACACTGGTGAATTTTATTCCTTCAAACCAGGTTCCACTCAAATAGGAGTGGATAGTAATCATGTTGCAAAATTTAATGTAATTAAAAGACAAAAATTTAATATACCCTTTAAGAGAAAATACAAAGTAAAACCAAACCCAAACACATGAAAACGAGAGTTAAGAAAGATACAAACAGTGAAAGCTAATGCTGACTTGAGAAATCCTGAGTCTGATTGCATACAATCAAAGCAGATGACCACCCACAAAAACACATGCAGAACATATCCATCTTCTTTTAGGAAATGTATAGAGTATTATTTATAAGCATATCAGTGGCATTGATAAAAACCTACTTTCCCTAGAGATTTCTATCTACCTCAACACACTTTCATTGTTTTTATATTAACTGGTCATTTCCTCTAAACATGCTTTGAAAATGTTATAGACTCCACTGTGAAACTAAATATTTCAGAAGGTTTTTTATTACTAATGCTAAGATAACTCTCTTAGAATTCTATAATGTAAAAACCAGGGGGCACCATGGTTAGAACCAGAAATATTTTTAAACATTCCTTTACATATTAGTTTTGAAAACACTGGAATAATTTTTAAAGCTGTCCCTATAAAACTAGTGAGAAAACAAAGGGTAAAATAAAACTATATAATATTGCTACTATATTAATTCAGCAGACTTAAAACTTATACTAAAAATATAAGAATTTTCCCCAATATATTGAAATAAACTCTTTAAGTAAACTATATTTTGGATTTTTTCCTATATTCTGAAAAGACAATGTATCTGCTTTAACTATTCTGTCTTCTGGAATATTCCAGCATTTTAAAATTAAAAATACCCCTAAGAAATATTCATGAAAAAGTAAAAAATAACATTTAAAAAAAATCTACATGAAGTCTTCTAATATATCACTAAAATGAAACTATAAACTATGTAACACCAGCTTCTACATAAATATGCTAAAATAGTAAAATATTATTGTCCATCTTAAAACAACAAAATGTTCTACTGTGTGGCGCTAAAAACCTTCCAAACCATTTTTCCAAAGTGCTAAATATGCCACCCTCTACCATTTAGAAAAGTAATATTCATAAAGCACAAAAGCAATTCTTTGTTCAGTTATTGCCACCTGGTGGCTATGATGGGTGATCTGCTAGCACAGCTCCCGATTAGCTTAACAGGTTCTACAAATTATTGACATGAGAGGATTAAAGGTTTTTAATTTTTTTTTTAAAGAAAAAGGAAAAAGATATCTGACTTTAAAAAATATATTTTACTAGGTCCTCTATACATAAGTTATGTGTTATATTGATTACGAAAGTGAAAAGGACTTGGTCTCTACTCTCAAAAAAAAAAAAAAAAAAACTAGTTGAAGAGACAGATGCATAAACCAATACTAAAGGTAATGAACCAAAGTGGGTAGGCAAGCATGGGATGAGGGCATCTACAAACTACCACACAGAACAAGAGCATCTCAGGTCATTTACACTTGGGATCCCTTTAACTAGTAACCTCACTGACATTTCAGGATAGGGAATTCATGAACTGCCCTTGATTACCATCCTGCCCACAGGGGGAAGTTCCTTTTAAGAGTGACTTGCCCGGCTCTTCCTGAACGTCACCTAGTCCTAAGGCACACACACAGACACACAGGTCTGCACTTTATGGATAAGTAAATCAATGGGTACAATTTCAACTTTTATCACTAGACGTACATATTTTAAAATCCAATAACAGACCACCTGAGATGTTATTTCTCATGTATAATTATTTAACCATTGAACTGTGTAAGATTAATTCCAATTCAAATCAACAAATATATATTCAGTCCCTACTTATGTTTAAGGCATCATACAAGGAATGAAAGGGTGAATTAAAAATGACCCCTGACCTTCAGGAACTACAACCCAGAACACGGGGTAAAGCGAATTCGCAGATGACTTTAATATAACTTGAGAGTTGTGTGTGTACATAAAGGCAGTATTAAAAAAAAGCTCCTGGACATTCAAAAGGGGTTTCAGCTGGTCCTTGAGCTGACAAAGGCCTAACAGAACAAAGAGGTGGCTTTACAATGGAATTTGCAGGCAGGGATGCTAATTCCAAGGGAAAAAGTAAAGGTCAAGTACGGATTTGTTGAGGGAACAGCAAACTATCTTCCAAAAACATATATTTAAGCAGAAACCATGTTACAAATGAAATCTTACGTAGAACCCCAATATATATAACATAAATGCAGAATTTTGTTGGTATAGTGTATTTTATGAGTTCAAAATGATAGTATTTACTTATTAAAAAAATGTAGTTTTGATAAAAACCACAAACTGATTATCAGGGGTGAGGAACAGCAACCACAATCCCCAATTTATGTATTTTGTTTTGACTGCCCAACATCAAGAAACTCCACTTACAATACCCCACACGGATAAGGGAGGGAGGAAGCAGGCACCACCATGCACTGTAAGTGGGAGTGCAGTGTAAACACACTGTATCTATCAAAATGCAATTGTGTGTACACTTTGACCCATCATATATTTCATAAATATGCAAAAAAAAGTAAGTGCGCACTATAGCACTGTCTGTATTAAAATAAAAAACAAAAAACAAAAACCTAGAAGCTTATCAGTGAAGGTCTGGTTAAATAAACAATGCTATATCCATATCATGGAATATTGAGCAACTATTTTTTCAATGAAGTATACATATACTACTCATACGCAATGAGAAGGAAAATATTCAAAGTTATACTTAAGTTTAATCCCAAAATAATCCCATGACGTAAGGTTTCTTTTTATAAAAAAAATACAGATATTAATTTTCTAAGGAAACGCAGCTAGCAAATGATAGAAACAGGACTCAAACCAAGACTGTCAGAATTCAGAGCTTATGCTCTGAAATAGTAATGTATACTTCAAAACCATATCAATTTGTTTTTATGCATATATGTATATTTAACTTTTTTAAACATATGTAAATATAAAATCTCTAGAGGTATGCATTTAAAAAAAAATACACCCTTCAGCCTTGAGAAAGTAGGGAAAAGAAAAAGGATTTTTTTTACACTCCCCATAATAACGTTCAGTACTATTTAAATTCTCACTTTAATGTGAGCAAATATTACTTTATAAAATTAACTTTTTTCCAAAAATCCTGATCACACAATAAAAATGAACTTTATACATCTTGTAATCTCAGGACATTGTTCAATGAAATAGCTCCACAAACTTCAGTAAGTGAAACTTTTTCACAAAGCTGAATCTCTATCAACACCTAATAACTGCTCACATTCCTCATCATAAACGGAAGTCAGAAAAGCACTGAAAACTTCCAATGAACATTAAAATTAAAACACACGAGGTATTTTCAGTTATCTTACAATTGTTTTTGTTCAATTATTCTTCTAGACAGATGAGCTCATAAAACTGAGATGCTCCAGCTTGTACACTATCATCACTTGTACAACTGTTTCTGGACCAGTCACAGAGATCTCAAGTCAAAGACAGCCCAAGCATAAATGAAGTTCAAATACGCACGATGTGTACAATTCACTCACGCACCCATTTGCCAAACACTTAACTGAGAGCCCACTAAGAGTCAAGCACCGCACTAGATGCCAGGCAGTTTTCTCTAATCCAGGACATTACCAGTCTGTGAACTGTTTGGAACTGGTCTCCAAGGAGGTAAATACAGAAACGGAGTTTGTTTTCATATAACTTACATTGCCAGACATCCACTTTCATGTCTGCTGAATCTAATAATTTAAAAATCTGGCTGGCATTTATGTCTATTTCTTCCATTTCATCTATCTAGTAATCCTACCGTATTTTACAGAAGTATTGCTTGAGATGGATGGGAATTTTTTAAGTCATTTACAGAAAAGTGAAGCATTGACAGATTTAATTGCTTGCTCAAGTTTGTAGGAACAATAATTCTCTCCTTCACCCAGCCACTGAATTAATGCATATTTATAAAGAACCCTGTACGCCAGACAAGAAGCTCCACGCTGGAGCTACAGTCTTAAAACAAGACCATCAGTGAGCCCAGCCTCTCCGGTGTGAGCCCAATTCGTCTCCGAGTCCAGGAGTCGCCCTGGACCGCCGCTCTGGCAGAGCTCGCCTCCCGAAGACACGCGCAAAGCGGTGTGGACACCGCAGTCCAGCACGTAATGCCACTCAAAAGCACAACCGATGGAGGAAAAACAGCAGCCACACGCTCCGTTCCCAACGGCCAGCGGCTGGGCAAGACGCGTTCCGGATGCCCGCTCCACTCCCCACGCCGGGCTCCGCCCTCCCTCCCGGCTCCACCGCCTGGGCCCGAACCC